AAACTTTCTTAGGAGTGCTCGATAAAAATTTTCGAAAACGAAATAAGATGAGAAATTTGGGCATAAATGCCAACACATTTCAAATGACAACCAATAAATGAATAAAACCGTAATTATTGGATAGTTATAAAATCCTGAATTGTTTCAACAGATATGAAAGTTCGAAGATCATGGGTCAAAAATTCAAAATACAAATAGAGACTAAATAGGATTGACAAATGACAAAATACATGGGCACGTGAAGAAGACAGAAGAAGATGATATTGTCGAGAGGTTAGGGTTTCGTCCGCGGTCTACGGTCTGCGAACTCCAGACCTCGCAGACGGCCGCGGACCGCAAACGTCTGCAGGTGTCCGCATCCATGCGAATTCTTGTGTCCGCTTCGCATCCTCGAAATTAAGCCCCGCCCACTCCAAGTCATCCGCAAAATAATAAAAGACGATTGCAGACGCCTGCGGACCGCGAAGTGTCCGCTGCAGACGAAATAAAAGACGGCTCTGATAAAAATAGAGACTAAATAGGATTGACAAATGACAAAATAGAAGGGCACGTGAAGAAGACAGAAGAAGATGATATTGTCGAGAGGTTAGGGGTTTCGTCCGCGGTCTACGGTCTGCGAACTCCAGACCTCGCAGACGGCCGCGGACCGCAAACGTCTGCAGGTGTCCGCATCCAGGCAAATTCTTGTGTCCGCTTCGCATCCTCGAAATTAAGCCCCGCCCACTCCAAGTCATCCGCAAAATAATAAAAGACGATTGCAGACGCCTGCGGACCGCGAAGTGTCCGCTGCAGACGAAATAAAAGACGGCTACGGTAGAGGCACGCAGAGGATCGATATAACCAGAGACAAGAGACCCTCCACTGGCCTCCTAGCGACAGGTGGAAGCTTTTACTTTCGGGGTTTCAACAATTCCAGGTCCAAGTTCCACCATGGCCAAGATACTAGTGGAGGGTCTCTTGTCTCTGGATATAACGGCATTACCTCCACAAGACTCCCCTGCGATATATCGAATCGATTGTGGCAATGTGACCCAAGAGGGGTTGCGGCCAGAAGCCGACAGAGAGCGCTGAAACTCATACAATGTTGCCAGTCTGTGGTGTATGATGTGTTGCTTGTTAAACGAAATGAAGGCGGGAGACCTATCGGCAAATGTCCGTTCTTCTCAACAACAAGCCAGTTGGGCGGTGGATTGATCGCAATGAAAATTGATGGCGATACATACTGTTCAAAACAAATAGCTTTCTCGACTGACCCCTTTAGTCCACATAACTCTGCCGAAACGACCCCGAACTGTGTTGCTTTTCTTATGTGCGTCGCTTCGTTGATCTTGGTTTGATTTTCTCGGACCGATAATGGCCCAGCCCATATATGAAGGATATCAATGAAATTAAGTATCTCTTAAGCTACATTTGGACTCTCTTAATAAATGTTCAATGATACTACAGAACATGGATATGATCGGATGGTAATGCCGAGATTGTGGCAGTTGGTCGATCAGTCCGTCGACAGCAAAATATATTCCCCTGCTCTCTGCTCTCATCAGCCGGTAAAAAAACGATGGCGTTACGTCCCCCTGCGGTTTTGGGCGTTGGGCGCAGAGATGTTAAAATTCATGAGGTCTTTTTTTTTTTTTTATTACTTCAAATAGTGCACAAGGGCCAATCCTTGCCCTTTATCCCGTCCCCCTCCAACCCCTCAACCAGTCCCAGGCAACAATTATTGTTTGAGACCATCAAACTCGGATCGTCTGGCCGGGAATCGTACCCGGGACCTCCCGATCATAGAGCTGGCGCTACAACCATTACACCATACTGCCGTGCAAAGGAAAAACGCCGTATGAACCTTCAGGCGTTGCCACATTTCTTTTGAAAAACACGAATTTCCTGGTAAACTCATGAATATTTTCCCTCCACTTTTTCAGATAATTTCGTTCGTAATTCCACCGAAAAGTCCTGAAAATTTCAAGGGAAAATATTCATAAATTTCCTCAAAAATTAACATTGTATCGAAGGAAATTTGGCAACCCTTGAATGTTCATACGGCGTTTTTCCTTAGCACGGCAGCTTAGGAGGCCGACTATTTCGAAATTTCATTCAAAATTCATTACTTAGAGAATACTAATTCGAGGAAGGGGATCATACAAAACGTTAGGTTTTTTTTCGTCTTCTTTTTTGATTAGTGCAGTATGTTACACAGGTGGGTTATGAAGATGAGGGAGAAAGAAAAAAATCTGAATTTCAGAATTACGTATTTTATAGCTCTTCTAAGCACCCAGCCACCCACACACACTTTTTTTGAGGCGAACGTGCGGCGTTCGTCTTAGAAATTCACATGAAGTATCAAATTTGCAATGCGGCACGGAAGAAAATGAAATTGCTGATTCAACAATTTTGTGGTTAAAAGAAGTGTTCGACGTGTTTCATTGTAAATTTTACAATTAAAAAATGCTAATGCAACCACCCCCGTAGCTCAATTAGCTTTCCATTATTGAAAAAGGATATTATTGGGGGGCATAAGTGCAGTTTTTGCTATTCCGAGAAATGCGTGTTTAAAGTTTCGAAATTACATGGATCCATATGGCGGAGAGAAAGCTCAAACTGACTCTTTCATGCTTTAAAATTGGAAATTTGGAACGAGTTTTCCACAGAATATGCATTAAGACTAGTTTTACTTAATATCATTAATATCTTAATTTTTTCAAAAACTGCATTTATGCGCCTTGTCCTCCAAACCCCTCATTTGGAACAAGTCGGACAGTTTGTAGGTAAGTACAAAACTGTTAAATCAGCAATTTAATTTTTTCGGTGGATATTCACATGCATTTTAACTCACTTTTTACGGGTTGGTTCCGCAGCCTGTAACAAATCACGCCGACGATTTGCAAGTTCAACTAACAATGTTTTTTTTCCAACGAAGTTCATCTCATAAAAAATTCAAAATTTAATTTTAATTTTTTTTGGTTGGTTCAGAAGCAGCCTCATTCATTCGCATAAGTTAGCATAAATTTCATAAGTTTTACGTGAAATTGCCACAATATCTCCCTTGAAATTTTCCGTCACTCTGCGGAGCTCTTGTATATGATACCTAATTTATTAACCAACTATTCCTATTTTTTTTTTTCAAATTTTTCGCGAATCGCTGATTTTTTTCCGTAAGGAAGAAATCAACTTTCAAAAAAAGCTCTAATCAGGCTGCAATGATGGTATAGTTCTTAGGGCTTCTATAGGGGAGAGTTTACCTCTAACTACTCTTACTCTATGCTGCTATCTATATATATTCTACACAGATTAGTCCAGATCGCTAACGTCCAATCTAGCCAATGCTTCGAAAGCGTGAGTAATTTTGCTACAGGTTAGGCAACTTTAGAAAATTGATGGCCCTACCAGTAGTGAAAGAACTTGACTGGGGCGAGAGAAATTTTCTCTTGAATCTGATTATAAAGCTTTAATAAAGTATAAATAGTAATATGTAATAATGGTTTTTGATCAAATAAGATTTTATCAAGTACTGTTATGCTAAGTATTCTGATTCAATACTCTTACAACAGTTGGTAGCAAATTAACTGCTCTCATGGGGGCCTGGCGGGAATTCAAAACTAGGAACCAAAAGTCTCATTTTGCTAGGATTTTTCTTTAATTTTCGGTTTCTAAGGCTTTAAACTTCAAAAATATGATATATAATAATCTGGCGGTGAAGATCGATTCATCCAGAATAGATGAGAGATAGACATTCCAAATTAAGGGGGAAAGTGCTGCATCTTTTAATCTGGAAATATTAAACCACATAAATTCTACTGAGAAACTAATTCTTGAATTCTTCGGAACGTTTCATCTCACAAAAATCTGTAAAAGAGGTATTCTCCCGCCGAAAATCTGCTGAAAATAGCCAAAATTGCAGTTTTGGTTCCTAGTTTTAAATGCCTATGGATTTTCCCGCCAAATGGCTTTCACAAAACTTCTCACGCTCTTCCGCCGATGTTAGCGATCTGGACTAATCTGTGATATTCTATTATTATCTCTTTGTAAAAGAAGAAAGTGAGGTTATGTTTATATTAACTGATGAGTACTCACCGTAAGTAAATATATGTACTTTGTGAATTACGTCTTTTACTAATCCCTTGTCGACTATCCTCTGGGTTACGTGTGACTTTTCCACCTCTGTTACCCTGCGCGGGTCTTGAGGACTCTTGAAGACCCACTCTTCTTGAAAACTTTACTTTACAACTCTTAAATCAAGATCTATGCGGGGTATATATTTCAGAGTCAAATACTGATTAACTGCCACATCATCAATTTCACGGTTAACAATCTTTTTTAGTTTTGAAATTTTCAAGTAAGTCACTAGAACATCTGAAAGGATTCTAAAAAAGGTAGATCATTGGCTGAAAATGCAGAATTGGTTCTCTTTGACAGAAAACTTGCGCTCTAAGATGTGCTGATAGGTGGAAGGCTGGTACATGACTTACTTTAAGCCAGAATTGACAAACCTTCATGCAAATGTACTTCTCCTTCGATGCTTGGACGGACTATCGACGTGCTTTTCCACAACATTGTCGAACATTAATTAATGGAGCCCATTAATTTTTTAAACAACAAGAGTTGTGGAAGAGCATGGTGACATCCTGGATGAACTAACTTGGAGAGAATAAACTGGATTGTTTTAATTGTTTCATAGCCGCAAGAGAGATGCTGTGTTCTTCAGCTGCAAAATATTATTTTGCGTACACTGAAGTAGAGAAATTCCAACTGAAGAGAACTTAGGTATGATTAGACTTTCCACAGGGGGCAGACTTAGCAAGCAATCTGCATAGCTAGGGAACACGGCAGCCTTGTGATTTCGGAGCGGAGACGCCAAAACATAAAATTTAGAAAAAGAATAACAACTGAAGTAGGTAGGGTAGCCTGGGGTTAAGTGGGCACGGCGGGTTAACTGAACACTCGACCTAGCTGCCACCTGGTGGGCAAACTCAAAACCAACTACGCGTCAATTTCATCAGTTTATAGACCCTTACTAGTGTACCTTGCGCTGAGTTGATAATCTTTGTTTTTTTTGAAGTTATGTTTACAAACGTGTTTCGTGGGCCGAAAAGTAAATTCCCGGTGCTGTGAACTGAAGCCCAAATGACATATCTAGCTTTTGAGGAAGGCTTTGGTAAGTGCTTTATTGTTTCATCTATAGTTTTATGTACTATTTCCAGTGATTACTTTGGTAATTATTCCAATTGAGTACTATTTATGATTTTTTTTCTCTGAAATTCCGAAATGGGGTTAACTGAACACTACCAAATGGGGTTAACTGAACACTACCAAATGGGATTAAAGAGGGCATTACCAGTTAACCCCATAGATTACAAGTTAGCCAAAACATTCACTAAAACTTGTTTTTTGATTTTAATTGCAGAATTTTAACAACTAAAAGGAGAAAAAGGACAACCAACCATGGGACCTATTCAGAAGTCATTGAAATAAGTTTTCCGTATCTCTTAGTGAAAATGTACATAATATAAGTATTAAGACAAACAAAAAATCATCCTCAGATGTATTTCTTTAATTTTTAAGACTTTTCCCACTTGTTCATTTGACTTAATAAAAGTTTCCTCTTTCAAAAGTATGCTTTTTCATCTTAGTGTCCAGTCAACCCACCCCCAGTGCCCAGTTAACCCACCCCACGGGGTTAACTGAGCACTTTCCCATTTTTTACAAAATCTAAATTTTGACCATGAAGAAATTTAAAAAATGAAACATACTATTTTTTGCAGATACCTTACATTATACTGAAGACATTGTACTTTAAAGATTAACTCTATCTATCACCAAATTTGTTTTATGATTTTTCAAACAAAATGGTGCCCACTTAACCCCAGTCTACCCTAACCATTTTTATTCTTCATCTGCCTTCATAAGGGTGCGGTTGTGTAGTAGAGGAAACAAACTGATGACAATTATTGCATCAATACGATAAGCGCTAGTTAAAAGCAAGCAATGCGGTTACACTTTTTCACGAATCTAATCACATCACCAGTACTAAATTACAAGTCTCCCGATCCACGAGTACTAGGGGAAAAGTCTATGTCGAGATACTAATTGATAATTTCACTTAATGGATTCTAACCTCCTCTAACTCTTAATTCACGCTCATGATCATGTTTCGAGAGTTATCAGCGATTATCAGCTGATTGTCTCACAATTTCACACTGACTATCGACAGTCAAGGATCGACAGTGGTAGAAAGTCAGAAACACCTATAAAGAAATCTCATGCTTACTTTTTGGTTTGGCAACATCGTAAAATTCGAGACAGCCTTACATCTCGAAACATCGACCGATCGATTTGGGCACATTGCCAAAGTTTCGATCTCTCGCTCGACCATGTTGGATTTTTGGAGGTAATGCCGTTGTAGGTAATGTCCTGCCCCCATTATTTTCTGGTGCAGCGCCGGAAAAAAACAGTTTTGACACGATCGGCGAGCAGGAATCGATATATCAAAAATTCTGCGCGCGGAACAGATTTGGAGCGCCGCGCCGGAAAAAATAGTTTTGACACAAACGGCGAGCAGGAATCGATATATCGAAAATTCCGCGTGCGGAACAGATTTGAAGCGGCGCGCCGACAAAAATAGTTTTGACACAAATGGCGCAATTATATCGAAAACCGGCGCGGAATCCGGAAATTCAGAGATTTTCATCGAAAACGGGTTTTTTCTTTCCGCGCGCCAGAAAAAATTCCGCGCGCGCAAGAAAAGGGTTTTGACACTCGTTCCATACAATCCTGGATTCCATCTGACACTAAACACCTTCACTAGAAAATAACGTCCTACGTTTAGCTAAATAAGGATAAATAAGCCACATATAACTGAAGGAATCACGTAAGAGTGCTTAAGCAAAGACATAAAGACGGAGGGCTAAAAGCAAAAAATGAAGCTTCTTTTCAACCACCTCTACTATTGGCTAGAGGATTGGCGGCGAAATCGGGACAAGTTTGAATTCAAATGTAGGGCGGGAACTGAATAAAATAATTGCGGAAACAAAGTATTCTAGGTTGATTTTTGCCCAAATTCACTTACCCACTCATATTTCTTTAACTTTAGGTTAGCTTTGGTCCGTCGTCGACCGATTAATTTCATTTGGGAGTAACGGTCATCTAGAATTGTAACGACCTGTTTGAACCTGCAGAACCACCATGAGCAGAAGAAAAACTAACTTTATCGGAGATTACTGCCTATTACCAAGCAAGAGTAGGTGTAATATAATAGGACGCAGTCCCAACTTTCTTAATATATTCGTTTTAGGCATTTAAAATACGTTTCGAAGAAGAAATATGGAAAAATTAAGAGGACAAGTTCAAATCAAATTTCCATTTGCCGCCATGGATTCCCGCGCTCATTTACACACTCACACAAGCACCCAGCGCCAAACCAGGCTTCACTTTTTCCCCGTGCTTTTAGATACGAGCACTCCGTCTTTATGTCTTTGTGCTTAAGTAACAATTAAAGTAAAATTATGATTGTTGTAGGTTAGAGTCCCTTTATACCCAGAGTTACGACAACTCACTTTTGGTTGGGCCAGGATTGGGCTGAAAGTGGCCTAAAAAAAAATCCAATTCTGATTGGTTCTCGCTCATGGAGGCCGAAACGAGTGCACCAAGATGGCGGTACCTCGTATGTGAACAAGAATAATGAAAATATTACCTAATTGTGGTTTATCAAGAGTAAATTGTTATTTCTATCGGTCCAAAATGAAAATAGATCAAGAAATTATTCACAAACCAATCTCATTTTCTTTTTTATTGATCAATTTGTTGATGTTGTTGTTTTTGTGTGACAGACATCGCAGGATTCCTGATCCTTATCCCTCAATATCGTTCGTTTGGGTGCACTCGTTTCGGCCTCCATGGCCAGCCAAGGCCGGCTGTCAGTCAGCTGATAATCGAGTTGTCGTAACTCTGGGTATAAAGGGACTCTATTGTAGGTAACCTTAGAATTACGCGGCAGCCTTCAGATTTGACATAATTTCAATTATTACTAGTGAAAAATGTTCCTCAGAGTCTCATTAATACTAGAGTACCTGTATAGCGAGAGTATGGACAGATGTGAAACTCCGAGAATCCATCAGGCCTTCACCGATGCTTCTGCGAATAAAGTTAGGGCCCAGAAATGCAGCCAACCTATGAATTTCAATTATCCAGAACGATTTTCTAATACTATTGTTACAAACCGTCGTTTATTAAGCACGTGTTTGACTCAGTTTTTGCATAAATTTACTCAATTTTGCGGAAGAACGCTCATTTATGTACATTCTTGGCCATCTTGGTTAGAATTGGAACCTGCAGACTGGCAGTGAAATTTTGTGCGTTAGAAGTTGGTTAGAAGGGTGGCTGCACTTTTGAGCCCTAAGCCCTCCATGAAGCGATCTGTCCATACTCTCGCTATACAGGTACTCTAATTAATACTGAGAGTCAAGACAATTCGGCTCATGGATGCAAAGACATAAAGACGGAGTGCTCGTGTCTAAAAGCACGGGGAAAAAGTGAAGCCTGGTTTGGCGTAGAGTACCTTTATAGACAGAGTATGGCCATTCGTATCTTTTTACTACAGGAAAACTGTTCCGCTTTTTGATTGGTCGACGAGTTTTTAGGCTTCATGATGCTCTTAGGGCCGTAAATAAACAAACAAAATGGCGGCTCACCGTAACATCGATAAGAGGCTAAATTTGACAAAAATTTCAATTATGAGACAGTAACAATTTAAACTAGCATGTCTACGAATAACACACGAAAAACCCATGAAAACATCGTTACATCGCCTTTCACCTTTATCGCAGGAGGATGTAAGGTGTGCATAACCTCAATCTTGCTTGCTGATAACAGCCATCTTGTTTGTTTATTTACGGCCCTAAGAACATCGTGTCAGCCTAATTTCACGCGACCAATGAAAAACCGGAACAGAAATGGCCATACTTTGTCTATAAAGGTACTCTAGTTTGGCGCTGGGTGCTTGTGTGAGTGTGTAAATGAGCGCGGGAATCCATGGCGGCAAACGGAAATTTGATTTGAACTTGTCCTCTTGATTTTTCCACATTTCTTCTTCGAAACGTATTTTAAATGCCTAAAACGAATATATTAAGAAAGTTGGGACTACGTCCTGCTATAATACACCTACTTTTGCTCGGTAACAGGCAGTAATCTCAGATAAAGTTAGTTTTCCTTCTGCTCATGGTGGTTCTGCAGGTTCAAACCGGCCGTTACAGATGTCTTTGCAGTGCTAGATGACCGTTACTCCCAAATGAAATCAATCTGTCGACGACGGACCAAAGCTAACCTAAAGCTAAGAAAATATGAGTGGGTAAGTGAATTTGGGCAAAAATCAACCTAGAATACTTTGTTTCCGCAATTTTATTTAGTTCCCGCCCTACATTTGAATTTCAAACTTGTCCCGATTTCGCCGCCAATCCTCTAGCCAATAGTAGAGGTGGTTGAAAAGAAGCTTCATTTTTTGCTTTTAGCCCTCCGTCTTTATGTCTTTGCATGGATGTCACAAACGGGAATAAAGATTACAGAAATTGAACGTTTTTCGTAATCTTTGATCGGCAATTCTCAAATGCCTTTCTCCGTTCCTCCTCTCATTCCGTTTGTTCCTTGCCGAACCCGTAATTCCCTGGTCCATTCCAGATTATAATCTTTGCAATTGGTGAAAATGTAATCTTTATTCCCGTTTGTGACACTGTGGAGGCCTAAAATATGGGAACCAATCAGAAATGGATTCAAATTGTCTTGACTCTCAGTATAAAGGGACTCTAGTTATCACTAGAGTACCTGTATAGGGAGAGTAGCGACAGATCGGTTCATGGAGGGCTTAGGGCCCAAAAGTGCAGCCACCCTTCTGAGCAACTTCTAACACACAAAATTTCACTGCCAGCCTACAGATTTCAATTCTAACCAAGATGGCTAAGAATGTATAAATGAGCGTTCTTTCGCAAAAATAAGTAAATTTATGCAAAAAGTAAACCAAATACATGCTTTCTAAACGACGGTTCGTAACAATGGGTCTGTTGCACCTATTTTTTTTAATTCATTTTCTAATAAAGTGCATCATTCTGAGCTTCATGAATTTTTCTCAGAATTTTTGGACCCCCCAAACACCCCAAAAAAGCACCCAAAAGTTAAAAAAATTTTGGCGGGAAAATTTAAAACTACAAATGACGGGAGAGTGAAGCCATTTTGTGACGTCACAACCAATACCCCACGTTTGTTTATTTTACAAATACATGGATTTCCCCATAAGGGATCGAGAGGAAAATTTTCAAAAGGAATTATCAGACTGTTGGAGGCCGTATTCATCAAATTTTCTTGCGATAATA